ACTATAGAGTATAGACCAAGTGAACTAATTACTAAAGATTTGTTAATATTTGTAATAGAATGAAAGGGAAAAATGGGAACTTTACCACAGTAAAGTGATAGTAATTGCAAAGTACTGATCTTTTTTACTTTCTGGTTGTAGGTTGTTGGCCAAATTGCCATAAAAATAGTGAATTTCTAGTGTGGAGCGCTTGAAATATTTGAACTCACATTTGCACATTTGGGCTAAGCAGATGTTAGTAAACTCATTGCAGATTCTTCTTTTCCGGTTGTGAAACTACTGCTAAAGGATTGTGACTTAAGATGGGGACGCCTATGAAGCGAAGGTTTTAATATTTGAAGTATTTTAAGGGTCTTTATTCGTATAGGCATCCTTAGTAGTTTGGGATTGAGGCGTGATTGATTTTGATGGTTGATCCATTTATTTATTGTTAAAAGTGGTAATGAGTGCTTAGCTTACTGTTGAATATCTACAGCCCAATCTCGAGAAGACGGAATGAAACGATGAGGCTTCTCGTGACTACTTTTATTGGAGTTGTATTTGGGTTTTTCCTTGGTGTAACCTTTCCTACAATTTCATTGACCAAGGCAAGGGGATCTACTTTTGATAATGAATTTGATATAATCGTATTTAATGTGCCATTTTTTCTTTTAAAGTATCAGTTGAATAAGAGTTGATAAGGTATTGTGCTTGTGGATTTCAATTTTGCAGCTGCCCTTACCTACTAATCTTTTCCAATCAATTGATCTAACTATAGAGGACAAGTACTCAGCCCTCTCATCTCAAGCTTTATTAAATGTCTTGAATTCCCTGAAAGGACACGGTGGCAGCTCACACAAGAATAATGACCCAAAGGTATTTTACTTGTCACTCGTATAAGATTGCACTTCTATTTTTGGAAGTTTATAGACAACTGCTGTTCAATATTTATGCTATTTGTGGCAATCTAGCAGATTTGGGTTCCGTCAAATCCCAGAGGTGCCGAGAGGTTACCACCCGGTATCGTAGCATCTGAATCTGATCTTTATACTCGGAGATTATGGGGCCTGCCCAGTGAGGTTCGTCAATTCAGCGATTATTCCAATTTGAAGCACTCAATTGATTCTTCTTTTTATTTGGCAACAGCTACCGCCCACCAGTTCACATTATGCAAATTGATGGCATGATTCGAGACTTGATATACAAAGAAATTAATCCATGTATTAACAAATTGCTTATACCCTCTTTGTTCCATAACCCCATTCATGGAATTAACCAATTTTTAAAGTTGATTTCTGGATATTAGTTGATTCTCCAGTAGTTGCTTAGTTGAATAAAAATATTAGCAGAATGCCTACTGCTATGATGACTGATAAGAACTGCTGAAGTGGGCTAATAGACATACTTGCATCCTTCTGGTTTCTGGTGCTCAAACAAACATTTTGCTATAGCTTGCAATATAGTGTTGGACACTGAAAATTATATTATCCCGCTATGATGACTGATAAGAACCATTGCAAGGGCAGCTAAAATATGATTTTAGGATGCCATTGTACGTTGAAAATGAACGATGTCCATGTCTCTCTTCTTTTCCTTCCCTTTTTCTTTGGGATGAGAAAACATAATAATTATGTACTATATCCCTCTATGATAATCAGCTTCATTATTGATATGCAGGACTTGATCATCAAACCAAGGTACCTTGTGACCTTCACAGTCGGCCTCATGCAGAAGAGTAACATTGATGCAGCAGTGAAAAAGGTTGTGCCCAAGCCTCTCTAGCTTTTTTTCCTTGTACTTGCTCTTGTGAGCCCTGCTCTGTCATTTTCAGGGGTTCTTTTATTCATGGATAAGGGATCAGAAGCATCACTAATACCCCCTCCCTTTCAATTTGTTTGAACCTTTTCGGAGTATGAGGGTCAAATTGATTCTCGGTGTGAATTCGGACATAGATTCTTTAAGATTTTCGAAATAAAATTTACATATTTAGAAACTACATAAAAGGTACTACAAGTCACAGTAGTTAACAATTCAAAATATTTTAAAACTATTTGCAAAAAACATGGTCAAAGAAAACCTCGTTTGGCTCCCAAATAGTAATAGGTTCATTCTTTTTGAAACAGAGGGAGTATATGCTTGTAACTTTTGCACCATAAAATTCAGACCTTGGCTCATCTCATTAAGATGAGACTGTGTTTGAGGGACCGGGATCGGACTTCTGATAAGGGCAATTTTACCTTCCTTCGATAATTCCACTAGCCCCACCTCCAATCTCAAAAGAGTTTTTATGTCATGTTTTTGCTTCATTTTTTGGGTTTAATGTTTTGCTTTCCTCCCCCCC